AAAATGAAAACTGATACTTCATAATGGTAATGTCTCCATAAAGCTCTTACTGTTTATAACAATGACATGGGTGGGGAAATGGACACATTATACAGCTCCTTTATTTTCTCTTTGAACCCTCTCTCCTTTGGCTTTCTCAAAATAATAAACTGCTTAATATCCACAATGTACACATGAGCTAGTAAGTACTATCAAATACAATTTTATGGATGAGCAAGTGAGACAGACTGATTCCTAAGTAGGGCCTGATCCTGGGATCAACTATAAGCTGGTATTCCTTGTAGCTGTTTTTCAGATACGTCTGCTAACTAAAAATTAAGAACTACAGGACTGCTGAATGTTTTTAAAGCTATACTAACATAAATATTGAGCAAATACTGTAACTAACTGTTAGACAGAAACCATAAACCTTACTTCCAGTTTATTAAATGAAACTTACAAACATATATCCTAACTTCAGCCAGAGGAAACTGCTTGCTTGTGACTTCCCAGCAGGTGGAAGTTGTCAAGTCTAGAGCTTTCTGAAGACAGACGACCTACTGTCTCTTCACATTTTACTCCATCAAAACATGATGCATACTTAGCAATTCATGACTCTAATTCATTTTCTTGACAAGAGTAGAGTTAAAAGAATTATATAGTTTAAGGAAAGGATTTTATTCACCATAGGGAAAATGCTTTATAGCTGGAGAATTGAATCAGTATGCAGTCCCTTTTCACACAGATATAACCAGGTGGGAAAGACAATGGGCCTCTCTGAATAATTTCTTTTACAACTCCAGCACAAATTACAAACCCAGAATGACCTTCTCAGAGTTACTGTGACTGTTTACAGAGTACAGACGCATCAGCTATACTACAGCTTGAATGTAATTTTGCTGTTGCTGCCTGAAACAGTCACAACAGTAACTGCAATTTAAGTATTTCAGTCTAAAGGTAACTTATTAGGAGCTCTGCTGTTTCTGAAGGCCTATGAGACTACTCAAGAGTTGCTGCTAAATGCTACTCTGAGAAGTACATAGCTAGATGCTGATTTCTTTGGTGTGATTAATAAATTTAGTCAGCAGACTATCAGAATGCAATAGAAACAGTAATACATTTAACTAAAATAATGGCTTATACCTGTCTATAATCAAATGGAGACTTCATAATGATCACTGAGGCCTAGACTCAGTAAAATATGAACTATTTGTTTCCTGAATGTAAATGGCCGTATGGATACTTTTTAATTACCTGTGAATTGGACCCATGACACCACCATCAACGGGTAAAACAAAGCTTGCAATATTCTTTATCAAATAGGCCATTGTGTTTTTTCCTTTTACATATTGCATTCTATATCTGCTTTTACTTACTACACAGGTTGTTTTCACAGGTGTCCCCTTTTGTACAATGACTGCATGATCTTCCTTCTATATATGGTCTTCTTGGCAAATTACCACTACAAAGGAAAGAGAAGAGTTTCAGACATAATTTTAAACGATTGGTTAAGTACCTTAAATCATTTGTTGAAGTAAATACTCTGAAAATACAACAAATTGCTGGCAAGTCATTAAAAAGATCTCGGAATAATTTTCATTCTTTTAATTTCAATTGTTCTGTCCCTGTGAAAGAAAGAAATCTTAAAAAGCTATTATTTTTCTTATGAGAAAATACTCAGGCTTTTTATTCTATTATTTATACTAAACCAGAATATTCTGGATGGAGCTTGGTTTTAACTGAGGTAAAATGAGGATTTTAGAGTGGAAATTTTTATAGCTGAAACACTTCCAAATAGCTTAAACTCAACTACTTATAAAAATAACAAAAAAAAAAAAAAAACCAAAAAACAAAACCCAAAACAACAAAAAAAATATCTTGTGAGCTTCATTCCACAAAACACGCATGTCCCAGAATAAGTACCCAGTCTTAGTGAAGACACTGGGATCCTTACATGCTTAAGGATCTCATCCAAGAGGAGATAAAGTATAAAGATCAGCCTGCAGGACTTAGTGTGCACATTCTCAGAAAAGCTCCTTACACATTGTAACTGCTGAAAATAAGAATGCAGTTACCATTGTCCTGGCTGCCTATACCACGCTATTAGGTAATAGAAAACACAATACCTGGTGTATGCTGCATTCATTCAAAAAGATGAAGCAGGGCTGTATTTCACAGCCTAATCCTGGGAACTCAGGGACAGATTTAGTCCCCTCACAGGACTGTGGGCTATCATAGTTAGGTTTGTTTCCCACTCTACTCACCTCCATAGTGGGTACTCCTCAAAGGGGATCATTTTCACCAAAACCTGTGATACATTTCTTTGGGATTCTAAGCCTGTATTTACACCCTATATTGTCTATATTTATAAACAAGAGCTACTCACCAGACATACAGAGGTAAGGGTTGCTATAATGCTGTTGTACAAGATGGATAGTGAAGAACAAAACATTACCTATGACTTACTTGCTACTATTCTTTGAAATGTATTTTATATACATTGACTACAAGTATGCTGTTGGCCTAAGTTTTACCCCACCACCATCCAGAGTGCCTTATTGCAACCGCATGCCCTGACATGTGGTCCAGGCAGCAATAAAATTGAATAGGGATCTCCCTGATCCCAAGAATGGAACATAGGTTTTGAACCTGTCAGAGACGAATATTTTAATATGTGTATGTATATATAAATATCTCAAAAACAAAAAGTTGCAGGTTAAGTACCTTGCCTTTTGGGTGATTGTCCATACATACATTCACAGCATGGGTGATTCCCAATAGTAGCCCACAGAGTTATCTTAAAAAGAGTCTCAGAATCCAGAATACAAGAGACTGAAGGACAAAGCATTGCTTCTAGAACCTCTGGCAAGAGCATAATGCCTTCATAAGGGTGTGAAAACAGACCCACTTGGTGACTGTGCACATTTCAATTGCAGGAACACAATACAAAGAAGCTACAGATATTGCCTGAGCTGCCATTCAGCAAGTCTTTCTTGGTATCAAAGGCTTTTACTGCATGCGATAATTACACGTCACACAGCTCATAATCACTGTGAAATCCCCTTTGAGAGAACTCTCAGCCACAGATCCAAAGAGATGAAAGGCCTTGCCTTTTTCTCCAAGAAGCCCTATCTTGTCATTACAAATAAGTAAATCCATAGTCTATCTACAGATTGCTTAACACCTAGGTTGTAGAGTGCTGCCTCATTGGGAAGGTGTAAGGAATGGGGGGAAAAAAGGCACAAATTAACTTCTTCAGGAAAAAAAGTCACTCTCACATGGAACTTCAAGTGGTTTCTGAAGACTACTCCACTTAACTGAAATAAAATGTATAGGAGACTATCACATGGGCTTTAATTTCACTTGTCTTGCTTGTTTAGGCTACAGAAACTAAAAGGCTCTCTTCATAAAAACTGACATTGTTGTGTTTTGCATTTTGCTTCTTTGATTAGTCATTACTACTGTTTCATTTCCTTCTGACAGCTAGTGAGTACTGAGCCAACATTCTCCATGGTTTTATAGGTGACCACCTTTTCCTCCCATGTGTATTAGTCTGTATTTACTTCCAGTGATTTTCATTTACCCAGCAGTGGAGACTCCAGAAACTGTGAGATGTCAGGAGTTTTCTGGTATCATGTAAGTGTCAGAGCACCCTATATAACACTTAGTAAGTTGGTAGTTGCAACTGTTACAGTATCTTGCAAAGTGATAAATCACCACAGTATCTATCTAGTCTTCCCTTCAGGATTCATTAGGTTGGTTACACTTCTTGCCTTTACCCACAGGCAAAGAGCGAGATGTGAGAGAGTGCTCAGTTTTTCTAGTTTGGACTCTTTGCCTATGGTGCAGAAAGTGAAGAGGTAAAATAAAATAAACCAAAAAAACCCTAGGTAAACGAAAATAACTAGGTAAGAGAAAATGATAGTTGGGAAAGCTCTCTAGGATGGCTGAGAAGAATGTCCAGTAAGCCATGTGACATCCTACAAGACCCTTCCAAGGGTATTTCCAAGGTTCTACTACCCTTCAAACAGAATACTAAGAACCATCTTGAGACTCCTCTTAGAGCTAAGGGTTTCCTGGACATAACAGATGAGGATTCACCTACCAAGAGAAAGGTAGGTAGAAGACATGAGAACAGCATGATGAACAGAGCCTGGCAGCACAGATGTGACAGTTAAGTTTGAATATGACACTGATGACAGAACAGGGCACATTCCAAAATACTGGATGCTTCTCTTTCAGTTGGGAGAAAGATACTCTAGGCATCTCAGACATGTATGGTCCCAGAAGCAGACCATGAACAGTCTATAAAAGGACCACAGTGTAAACTGCTACATTGAATGAAGTAATTCCGGCAAGGTGGTCCTTAAACTGGTACATCCTTAACTCTGAAAAGAAAGTTGTTTTCTAGCTGTCTTGCAAGGTAACTAAGCACTAAGGGTCCAAACCTTAGGAAGAAGTCATGAAGATCTAGTTGTAAAAGGGTGTTTCAGTATCTAGAGCTGAAAACAACATCTTAGTGATGTCTTCTAGCAAGGTTGAGGTTTATCTGTTTTTCTAGACATAGAAAAATGGAAGTTTCAGAAGTTTCTCTTCCAGTTTAGGAAGAGAAAGGCTGTTAGAAGATTGCCTGTCTGCTCTAAGTACACTTGTTTCTGTGGTGACATAGAGATCAGAGTTCCTGGTACCAAGCAGTGGACAAGAGAACAATGGCATGTTAAACTTCATTCTTAAGAAGCTATTCAGCTTAGCTATCAGCTCTTCAGGATGTGCATAACACGACAGCAAAACAACATGGTATGCTGTTTCAGATCAGAAAATCTCAAGTGGTAAGTCTTACAGACCACTGTTAAAGCCAATTAGTCATTATTCTGCTATGGCAACTAGAAACATTTTAGTTCAGATTTTGAAAAGAAAACAACAACAAAGTTCTATACCCCAGCAAGTTTCAAAATAACAATTCAAGTACAAGTCCAGTTTTGTTGTAGAGGAAGAGAGATGGGCAGGGCTGAATGAATTTTTTAGTTCAGGCTAACTGAACTCCCCAAAAGTGGCCCGGGTTTGCTAAAAGAAAAAGAAAAAAACAGTTGTCATGCAAGCTCACAAGCTATGGATGGTTTAAAAATAACAAACACTGCATACGCATGTGCTTGATTATGGACTGTGCGTTAAGAGACAAAATATATTATTTTAGAACTACTGCCTCTGTTCTTCAAACTCCTCCTGCTTTAGGAACAGCACTGACTGGGGCCTATGTTTTTTCACAGTATCAATTTAAATGTAAAATCACATGCTGCTGTTAGCTTTTCTTGCATTGATCATTTTATGTTTTCTAATGTTCAAATAACATGAGGTGTATCACAGCTATTAAATAGGCAAGAAATGATAATGAAATTTATTTTACTGTTATGGAGAAAGAAAAAGCAACTGATGTAACAGTTGTGCTATTATTTCTGTAATTTATAAGGAAAAAAAAAGAAATACATTGTGAAAAGTTAAAGTGCAATTAAAACATGTATAAAACTGGAAGTTGCCTGCAGCAACTGCTGCCATTTCTTCTGTGTCATATGAGAAAGAAATCAGCGGAGCATGAGTAAGTTTGGGGTTTCTTTGCTTAGGATTGGCAGAGAATTAGATTTATCAGTGAAGTTAACAGATAAAAAACTTTGCAAGTATATGCTCATAGCTCTCCTGATAACTGAATTAGACAACCTTTGTTTTCTCCAATAAATAAAGAACCCAATTTATTTTCATGTAATTACAATTGCTTTATTTAATATTTAAATCAGCAACCTACCTTTTGGCATAGTTGCAAACAAAATTTGCTGCATTTTGTATTCCTCCAACTTTGTTACACAGAGTAACAGCACAGCCTATTTTATATGAATAGTCCCAAACAACCTAAACAAAGACGGTTTTAAAATAAATTAAAAACTACACTCAACAGTAACCTAGTCCAGTATTTAGAAAGTTTACATTATTTTCAGAAATCCTACTTATTTTCATTTTGCAACATCTGATTTTGTTATGCATTCAAAAATACTGGTGGTAAGCACACTTTTTAAGATGAACTTCTAAATATTCACACTTCAAGATGAAGTGACGTATGCTGCAAGTTTCTAGAATCTTCTACAGAACAATTTTAATAAGAGTCACTGACTTTATGACCCAGGGATAGATTCCATGGAACAAAAGGGAAATTAGTGGCAACTACCCAACAGCTCCTTTAATTAATTTCAACATTCAAAACTCAGGTTGGCAAGAAGCACTTCTCTGTGCGAGAAGCGGTCTGGGGCTAATTACTACTCTAAAGTCTGAAAGTTCTAGCACTGCGCATGTTCAGACTAATGAGTGTTATCTGGCATACTTAATGGAAGATGGTTTATTATCACTTACAGTTTGGGTAGGTGCGGTTTATTATCACTTACAGTTTGGGTAGCTGCTTTTCCTTGGAAGATTCTTTCTATACCTTCTGAATATGACTAACCAAACCGTACCAACTTCAGGTAAAAATGTTTAACTATATACCTAGAACATCGGGATGACATTCCACTTCTGGAAAACTTTAAAGATATAGCGGATTACTCTCAGTACCTCCCTAGTATGAAGAGTACACGCCTCAGACTGACAAACTGACTTGAACATGCCCACAAGTTCCACTTCTTCAACTGTAACTGCAAAAAGCAGTTATGTTCCAACAGACATAACCTTTCCTCAAAAAGGATCTTAATGTTTAAAGTGTTTAAAATTACCTGAATCCTGGATTAAGGACTAAGCATTTCAAAGGGGTTTATGTAATAGCGTAACATATTTATCTTTTTTCTAGGTTTCCACCATTTGAGATCAGTGTGTTGTGGTTCTCTTGGCAGTCCTACACAGTCTTTCCACTATGATCTGTGAATTTTACCCACGTTCAACTTTGTGTCAGAGCCTCCAAGATTATGATGGCTCCTGGATCACGCCTGGTCTTTGATTACCAGTTTTGATGAAATATGTACTTTTACAGATTCGTTGGTGTTTAACCCATGTACTTGGGGTTTTTTTTCCAGCAGTTAGTTTCCTTTGCAATTCTGCCTGAAATACATGAACACTTTGATATGACTTAACTATATATAACAAGAAAGCAATATTAATCAGGCCGAAGAAAGCTCAGAAGTGAGCATTATTCCAAGAGAAATGTGCAAAACCTGCCAGAAGTAGACAAGGTTGAACAGTGAATTTTAAAATGCCAGAAACTACCTTGCTATATAATTTTTTATATTTTATTGTTCCAGAATAAAAATGAAATATATTTTCCCAAGATGTTGTCTAGTTCTAATCTTCTAAAAGATTTACTGCCCAATAAGCAGCAAAACTTAAATCCTCCAGCCTTGCTTTTGAGTTTGTTACAGGCAGAATCAAGAGCAGGAAACAAGAACTAACACTTGAGGGAAGGTAAGTGAGAAAAGACAATAAAAGAGGTGCAAAAAAGACCCAAGCAGAAAATGCTCTGTAAATTACTCTGGTAACTTAAAAGTATTTTCATTTCACAATCCAAAGTTACTCAAAAAGAACCTTGCAGCTACTCTGGTATCTGGTAACACCTGCACTGTAAGTAAGCATACTGCACAGTATTTTCATCTGTCATTTGCAGAGAGAGTCTAAGCACTTTTGATGCTGATAAGAAATTAGAGTCACTTTTATTAGACATCTACTTGACATTAAAACTATAATCTGTTTTAGATCAGTGAAATACTATAAATTTGCTCGTAGATGAAATTAACTCTACTGCAAAGTTTATTTTTAAACATGCTAATGAATAGATGTAAAATATTAACTGTTCAAACAAAAGCTTTACTTTCTCAGCAGAATTAAGATTGTCAGAATTACCACTGAGAAATTAGATATATATCATAAATTGCCTCTTTTGTTGTTTATGCTCTTTTTCTTCTCTTCCTTTTTTACAAGATTTGTAAAGAATATGATTGACTTTGGCTGGATATTCTCCTTCTGTTAGTATTTCTAGTAAAGAGTACCACATTCTGCAATTACTGTGACTAGTTTGGACAGCATCTCCAAACTTAGAGAATTCAGAACTGTGTGGCTTCGAAGCTGCAGAACTTGAAATGATTATTTTATGAAGTTCAGGTAGTACTGATAAAATGAGGCTTTCAGTGGGGCCAATATTGTGGACAAGAAGAATGGGTTATTATACACAAAACAGATGAACCAGCACAAGGGTAACTGACAGTACAGACATTGCTTGAGACTACAGAAGCCAGTAAGCTGTCAGTCACTACAGACCACATATACAACTCTGTATTATTTACAGCGCTCACTGATTCACCCAAGAGGCACTATACAGGACATTTTACCAGAGATAACTCTTACCTGAAAGTAATGACCGCAGATCTTAGAACATTTATGAACATTAAAAACATAGAATGCGACCTCATCATACCACGATCTAATGGCACCAGCAACACTAAATGCTTGAACACTTCCAATCCAAATATTCTCTCCAACAGATGTGAAATTAGGATGGCACTGATATCTCTCCGTTAAGTATACATTATGTTTAAAAACACATTTTCTTGCCCATGCCATTGCAGTCCTTGCCAAAGCTGCATCCCAAGTCTGCAAAACATGAAAGGTGAAATAGTTGTGCAATGTTAAGCTACAAACAGATCTTAAATAATCAGATAAAGCCAGTCAGGCAATAAAGTACAGATATTGTATGCTGGAGTTTCATAAAGAAATACTTTCCCTTATTTAGGCAAGTACCAGTGTTTTATTTTCATTGCCTTTTCCTGTTTCAGCACAGAAATACACCTAATTTCATTAGACTAGTTTTTTGTCCCCCTTCGCTGTTGAAAATTAACTTTGTAAAAACACTTGTTAGCAACTGAAAAGTTGTTAGAAATGCAGTTATATCTTCAGATAAAAAATTACTGTCATATTAAACTTGAAACTTTTTGTTTTTGTTGAACAGGTCATTAAGGATTTCTATTTGGTACATAAAAACTTATTCAAACTAAAAAAGCACAGCTACTGTAGATTCTGACCTACATCTATTTTAAGAGAGCCTCCAGAAACACTTATTCCTCCTACAGTAAAGCTTTAAATTCATATTGGAGCATTTTACAAAGACAGGTTTGTGAGGTAAACATGCTTATGTTTGGCTAGTAACTTATTCTGTTACCTTTTTGTTCTTTGTAGGCTGCCACCATTAATAAAACTTCTGATTCCTGAATATGAACCATCTTTGGTATTTGTTTTCCAGCCACAATTGTTTTTCAGCTAGGTTCTTCTACCATTAAAATACCTGGTTTTATATCTTGTAAAAGATCCTGTGGTTTACTGCGTAAGGTTATTGGTGTTAGTACATTTCACTTCACTCTTCGTCTCTGTGTGGATCTTACAGTAACTCCACTGGCTGCTGCTAACTGTTTTGTCCCTCAGGCCTTTAGTTTTTTCTAAGCATATTTCTATGTGCATATCTTTATTCATAATTTTTCCCTGTTTTCAGGAAAACACAAGAAAAAACCACTAGACCAGATTGCTCCAAGCCCCGTCCAACCTGGCCTTGACACTGCCAGGGATGGGGCAGACACAGCTTCTCCAGGCAACATCAAACATCCATTTTTTCTGCATCCTCTTCAGTTTTAACCCTCACAGAAAAATTGAAAAAAAAAAAAAAAAGGCAAAAAAAAAAAAAAAGGCAAAAAAAAAAGCACAATTTGTTTTGGTTATGTCAAGCAAAAATTCTTCCTTGCCACCAGAAATTCCCTTCAGGCCAACTACTGCAGTTAACATCCTTGCTTTTCATGAAGACCCTAACTCTTCTGGATCAGTCCTGCTGCTGGACCATTGCTTCTTCCTAAGGAAAAACTCCGGGGGGGCCTACAAGGAATCTCTAAAGGGACTTCTTACAAGACTATGTAGTGACAGGATAAGAGAAATGGCAGATTTACCTTAGACATTAGGAAGAAGTTCTCCACTGTAAGGATGGTGAGGCACTGGCACAGGTTGCCCAGAGAAGCCGAGGCTGCCCCATTCCTGGCAGTGTTCAAGGCCAGGTTGCACGGGGCTTGGAGCAACCCGCTCTAGGGGTCCCTGCC